CAGGAGGGTGGGTGGGACTGAAACATCCCACCCTGGTTGTCGTAGAACACAATCCAAAGGCACCTTTGGGGAAGCGTGAACAAGTAGGTCACCGTACTTGTTGGATCTTTTTGGTCAATGGGGCACCCCCGTTACTTGTGGGAGATGGGTTTTGCCCGATGGATCTTGCGGCAGCTGGCAGGTGATGTCGCTTCATTGGATGTTCTTTTTCGTTTAGATCAGTTCATAGGGCTGTGGGGCTTAAACGTGGAGCTAGTCCTGGAGCTATCTTTCTGTTGGGGCTGTGGGTCATGTCACCCTTTCCTTTGAATGGAACGGACGTCCCCAAAGCAAGTCCAGTGACCAGAATTACCCTCAGTTCCATTCCTGACCACTTGCATGGTTGTTTATCCGTCTATCCCAGATCATCCATCTATATATACTGTGGACAAGTTATACTATAACGATTCATTATAAGTGAATTGTTACTATAGTTCATTTCAATGATCCCCAATGGTCACGTTGACCTTTACTCTTCCATACCGTATCTACCCGCCATTTTCGTACATTTTTTATTTTTTTGAGTTTTTGATATTCAATGGTTCAAGGCTGAAGCCTCAAAGAGAATCAGCCCATGGAACCCCAAAGTGAGAAAAACAAACCATCCATCATACTTCAACCTACGCTTCAAATTCCTACTTCCCACTAGATGCTCCAACTGAGCTTTCAACTTTCTTGATTCCTTTCACCCTCAATGCCCTTCTCTTGAGCAGCTGCTGCGGTGCGCCGCCTCCATCAGCGAACCCAAGGCCGGATGTGGGGAGAAGTCCATCACTTATTTCCAGCATCTTTTAAAATGTGTACCCTATCTAGAGCCAATCCTCATTAAAAGATTCCCAGTCTACCAGCCTATGGCCCTTGATTTTCATGTAACCTTTCACGGGCTGGAAGCAAGTGACACCAGGCAGCGGCTTATTGGCTTTGCGGCTGCGCGGCTCGTCAGCTTCTTGAATCAAAGGCACTGGTGTGGAGGGAGTGTGGATGTTAGGCTATGTTTTGTGGAAAGGTTGAGCCTACTTTATTCTTTTGAGGCCTGCGGGTGCCACACTCAACCGTTTCCAGAGATGATGTCCAACCCATGGCAAGCCCACACAGACACACTTGACAGGCGGCTGGCTGCTGCGGCTCTTCGGCTTTGCGGCTCTTCAGCTTCTTGGGTAGAAGGCGCCAGGGCCAGGGCTCTGTCAGGGGATGCTTGGTCGATCGCAGCTGGGAATTGAATGGGTTTTGTGGGTTATTTGCACTAAAGCTGGCAGGGCATGGCCTCCTTTCTTGCAGCCCTCGTCGCCAACCGCCGGGGCCTGAAGTTCCCGGACGGTGAAGCAAAATTTTCAGCAGCATGTTGGGCTCAATAGCTTTGTAGTTGCCTGGAACAGGAAACACTACTGTTTAGGGTGTTAGGGACGACAAGTTCAAACATTGACCGTTATGCTATGTCGTTCAGCCAGAAACCCGGCCAAGGCGTTTCTTCTTGCAGCTCCTTCGTGTGGAGGCCAACCGGGCTTGAGAGTTGGAAGGGTTCGATTTCCGCCTGCATGCAGACTGCAGAGTTTTATGGCTGAGACTGAGGCAGTTGCTATAGGCTCAACGGCTCTTTGCGGCTGTTTTTGAATTTACATGTTGCATCCAAAAACCAGGTCAGCAGTTCTGGAAAGTTTAATCTGTTTAATGGTGTTGAAAGCTGAGTACAACTGGCTAGATGTTCTTCCCTGTTGACCTGCATCACCAGAGCCATTGCTGCTAGCCTCGGCACCCTTGAGAGGCTCGGAGGGAAGTTGCGGTTTGCTTTTCAACTGGCCCGATGATGGCTTTTGGCTTTCTGTTGAGTCTCAACTCATTGGCCACCAGTTCACCACTGGCTGGCTTGAATTAGATAGCGGCCCCACCTCTCGGGCACAGGCTTCAGCAGCTCCTCGGCTATTTCACTGCGGTCAGAAGGCAGCCCATCTATCATTCCGCATTTGGTCGTGTGGGTGAAGACATGAAGACATTGGGCCAGGTATGTTGAATAGCTTGATTCAGATTGTTTCAGTCTTGGATTGAAACACTGGCTTGGGGGTGTTTGTGTGGTACCAATGTCACTTGCAGGCTTCGCCGCTGTCATCGTTGTCTTTTCCTTCAGCAGAGGCAGCGCCGCACTAGATGTTTAAGAGAGTGTGTGTGTGTGGCTCCTTGCTTAGCACCCCTGTTCTTTGAATGTGGTAGCCCCAGAGATTATTCCAAGCCCACACACCCAAAAAACGATAACCTCCGCTGTTCCATCAGGCCCAGGCGTTTGGCGCTTCACCTGCTGTCACTGCTCCCCTGGCTTTGAGAAGGCAGGGCGACGGGACACTTCAAGTGTCGAGTTTGTCGGGCAGGGTCCACCGACGTCCAACTGTTTAAGCTGGAAACGCAATAGTATTAGAGCGGTCCATCGCACAAATGCTCTGTGTTTCTCAGGGCACTTCGGCTCAGCGGCTCTTGGCTTTTTGCTGTTTGGCTGCTGAATGTTTGGTGCTTTGCGCCGTGTCGTTGGGGGTCGCCCTGAGCCAGAGTCTTCAACTTCCTCGTCCTCAGACGAGATGGCAGCGGCGCAGGGACCACCACAAGAGATGGGCCCACCTGCTGACGACAGGGCAGGCAATGGTGGCAATGGTGGTGGAGCAGACGATGGTGGCAGTGGAGCAGGCCATGGTGGCAATGGTGCTGGAGCAGGCAATGATGCGTTGGTTTCGGCTTCATCGGCTTCAGCGGCTCCAGCTTCCAGTGCTGAATCCCAACTTGCTCAGAGCGATGCAGCCAGGAGGGCGCGGCAGGAAATCGCTCAAAGCGTTAAGGCTGGGATGTCTTCATTTGAGACTGGCGCGCTGATGTTCACCAGAGAAGAGTTTTGCCGCTTTACCTGCCACCCATCGGCTGTGCCCTCATGGTTTCAGCAGAGGTACAACACTACTGAGAATTTCACCTGGGCTTTCTGTGGCTTCGACCCGGTGGTGAGCTCATTTTACCCCAGCGGCTCCCGGAACCACCAGGATTTGGTCAGTGTTTGCGCCCGTTTCTCGGTCAAAAGTTTGATTAACTTGTCTCTTCACATTTCATTGGCTGGCGTTCCTTCATGCGCAGCTAGACTTGGGTTGAAGCATGATAGTAGTCAGTTGTTTGTTCACTGGAGAATGAGAATGATGCATCTGAGACATGGCCTTGCCGGATGCCTGGGTGGTGGATGAGGCCAAGGAGCTTCAAGCACGGCTGCCTGCAGCGCAGAATGTGCCAACTCGCTGGCACACAGTTGCTTGTATGGATTAAAGTTGTGTATTACGACATTTTAATGTTCTTTCGGGTAGAGTTTTCTGGGAATCTAACAAGGACGTGGCAGAGCGGCGACGGCAGAAACAGGCACCCTATGCTCCCACGGCTCCTCGGCTTGCAGGCTTTGGCGCTGGAGGCGCAGAGCTACCAACTTGGAGCAAAAACACGAATGTGCTACCTCTTTTCAGGATGTATTTGCCAAGAGCTCGCAACTTGGAGCTGCCCCGTGGATGCACTCTGCTTTCCTTTCTCCAAGTTGCGGCAGCCGACATCATTGTCGTGGACCAGCTGACAGACATGGACACGCAAAGCTCAGATCATGTTGCCACTTGAAGCATCAAGGGACAGGGCAAATGTTAAGTGGCTGACACTGAAGTTCAGCACGCGTTGGACCATCTGTGAGAGTGAGTTTGCTTGCTTAGGCATTTTGCTCAAAATGACGTCTCCAATCCTTTTGCCTAGTTTCCTAACTCATTGGCTAGACTCATGCGGGCCCCAGACTTTGTCGCGGATCCGCGCAGCTGCAGAAGCTTGTAATGAGAAGGTTGCGTGGCCGAACTTCCTCATCAACGGCTCCAATGGCTCATCAGCTTTGCGGGTTGGAACAGATTGTAGTGGCTTGGAAGCTCCAGTGCATGCCCTCCGTTCTATGGGCCTGCTGCACAAACATGTTTTCAGCTGCGAGATCAATCCGGCCCCCAGGACGATGATTGAAGCGAATTGCTTGCCTGAGGAAGCTTTCATGGACGACGTGATTGTCAGCTCTGCTGGCGCAGTGCCCTTTGTGCATTTGTATGTGGCTGGGTTTTCCTGCAAACCATTTTCCATGCTTCACAACAAGACCAAGCTTCTTGAGGAAAAGGAGGCTGAGATTTTCAAGGCAGTTCTTCGACGCATCGGCAAGCTACGGCCTCCATGCTTTGTCCTCGAGAACGTCAAAGGCATCCAACGGTGCATGGAGAAGGTACAATCTATGTTGCAGGACTTGGGCTACATCGTAGCGGTTCAATTGATGGACCCTTCGAGTTTGGGGGAGCCCCTTCTCCGGCCACGTTTCTATTTCATCGGGCTGCGAACAGATGTGGCCGCTTTCCTTGCAGGAGCCTCCAGGCACATTCTCCAGCACATTTGGACTGAGCTGGGGCAGGCAAATGAACCTGCTCCTTTGGCTCAGCGGCTCTTACCAAGTGACCACCCGCTTGTGTCGCAGCACCAACAGGGCGCGATGGTCTCAGGCAGCAACACTGGGGTTTCCAACCAGGTCACCCCACATGAAATGGAAGGAGCTGCATGATGAATGGAAGGCCAAACATTGCCACGCGGCTCCGTCAGCTTTTAGTTTCAGGGGCTGCTCGGCTGATGATTTGTTTTTGCATTTACCCCGGGAGAGAGACGTTTGGGACAAGTTGCGCACGACAGTTGGGCAAGCTGACCAGTTTGTGTGCGATTTGTCTCAAAGTTTGGGCCGCAACAGAGAGCGCACTGATGGAAAGGTGCCTACCATTACTCCCGGATCCCACCTGATCCTGGGCAGTGAGGGTCGAGCCCTGCTGCCGCGCGAGGCTCTTCTGCTGCACGCATTCCCACTCCACAAGATGACTTTCCCAAGTTGCATCTCAGCGACGGATCTTGAGAACATGGGCGGTAACACTATGCACTGCCAGGTGGTTGGCATTGCCATGGTGATTGCTTTGCTTCTTGTCAATTGGGAGCTGCCTGCAGCCCATCAGAGCCTTCCTGCAGCGGTAGCTGCTTCGGCTCCTTCAGCTCCTTTGGCTCTTGAGGCTGCGAAGCGTTTAGAAGAGCACTTGCGCAAACGCTTTGGAATGCAGCCACCGACATGGAGCAAGGTGGCCAGAAACCAAAATTCTGGGAGGCTCAGAGTCAGAGTGCAGAAGGTCAAGGGCCTGAAGGGTGAAAGGAGACCAAAGTGGAAGAAATGTCTTGTGAACACTCGGCGGGGGTAGTTTTCTGGCGCCAAGACCAAAGACAAGCATAATTGAGCAGTGACTTTGAACGGCTGAAAGGCTGTTGAGTTGATGGAATTTCAACAGTCATTAATGATATGTATAGCGAATTTGCCATCGTGTACAGGATCTCAGACATCAGGCCAGTATAAATCACCCAAAAAAACAAGGAGTTAACACTTGAGTTTTTTGTTTGCGTGTTTCCAATGCCAACTTTGGTAGCCTCAGGCTGCTGCGCTTTTGCTATGCTATGACTTGGGAAAATGTCTCGTGGGCAGAGAGGCTTTTGAGAAGCCTGACCGGCGAGAGTGGAAGCCGGAGTCGTTCCTATCAGCTCAGCAGCACGAACCAGGGCTCTTGCAGTGGAGTTATCTGGTGAAGTGGCCAGGAAGCTTGGGAAGTTATCTGGTGAAGCTTGTAGTTTCTTCTCTTTTCAACTCCCTCCTATGGCTACGCTTAAAATTAAGGAACTAGCACGCCCCCAAACGCATCCACCGGCCACTGGTAAAATCTCTCCAAGGTGTAACTTGGTGGTTTCTGCGTTCAAAGCCTGCGCCAAGACCTCTGGATCGCGCTGGCAACTGGCAGTGTTCGGTGAACCCTTTGTGGCTGCGAGACCATTTGCTTGCAAAAAGAAGGTTTGCAAGAAGCTGGCAAGCTGGCCTGAATTTTGGGCATTCCTTCGATCAATTCGCGTTCTGCAGAAATCAAGAGGCTTAGTAGCCTTTGGCCTGAAGACTTGAAGTGGGGTCAGTCTTGTTTCGTACAGGAATCGGAAGTTGCTAGCAAAGCAGCCTAAGTGGCTCCAGTAGCTCAGCGGCTCCAAAAAGCGCCCCCTCCAAATACGCCCAGTGGTTTTTAAAAACCAAGACCGTATTGCGAGGGGAAATTGTCCACTGAATATGCTTTGCCTCAGTTTCAGTATTGCCTTGGAAAAGATAACTGAGAATACACTCCTGGTTTGCAAAAACTGGGCCCGTATTCACAAGGGCATTCCCCCCTACAATACGCCACTGGTTCGTAAAAACCAGTAACCTCAATGTTTTCGTGTCATTGAAAGGTGAAAACAAGCACTTGAAAGGTTTCGTGCATTTGAAAGGTGTTTTGTAGCCGACGACTGCTTCCAAAGGTCTCAATTTGCTTGCAAAGGTAGTGCGTTGCCACTGAAAGGTCTGAGAGAGGTCTCAGGGCAGCTGTCATTGTTTTTACTATGTTGACTTCACCGTCATGAATCGCATGCTTTTGCCAGGCCAGCGATGCCTCCACCTGCGATCAGTGCAAGGCTGGCAGCAGACGAAAGGGTGAGCGCCTGCAAAGGTGGCAGGCGACCAATTCTTGGGGGCGTTTGGCCAGATGCGCTTGGGTCGTTGCTTGGTGGTAGTAGTCCTTACTGGTCAAGTAGTGACTCTAGAGTTTGTGCCATATAGGGCCTGGCCAGCCTGCAGCCCAGGCTGCCAGGGATTGCATGGATTCCAACGACAACAAGCTATATACTCTCTGTGGCAAACTTCATGTTTCGAGACTATGATTTGGACACAGTAGCTCCAGTCTTCCAGCTGCACTGATGAGAGTGGTAGTGGGTCAGTGGTGTTTCAGCAGCGTGCAGCGTTCAATCGAAGTGAGGCAGCCCTGGCAGCTTACATGGCCCATAGAATCGGCTGTCGCATCCCACCACTGGACAAGGTGTGTGAAACCTTTCAGTGCGTTCTGTTGAGCCTTCACCACTATGTGTTGCACTTACTTTCCCATGAAAGGTTCTCTAGTGCTATTGAAAGGTGAGCTGGTTGTCTGCCTTGTTTGATCAGACAAGAACATCATCAGGAATCAGATCCCATATTGGCACTCCAAGCTCCGCAGGACCCAGACAACCTGATGCTGCAGATCTTGCACGCTGAGAATTCCTTTCTGAGGATGGGGGAGTCCAGGCTGTCTTTTCTGGACAGTTGCAGAGGCAGCTTTGCCCACTCTGTGGTGAAGAGCCGTGACTTGGTGGATGCCTGTGTGATAGTTTTCAGGCAACAACCTGCAACAACTTGATACGACCATACGTTGCAACCTGTGAGCGCATCGGCTGTTTGTTTCTACCTGTGCCACAAACCAGATGAATCACCGCGCCCATGCCAGGCAACAGGTCTGTCAGCTTCGAAAAAACTCTGGCTTGGTGCTAGGGCGGACCTGCTTTGGGGCATCCTTAACTGAGGTGGTGACAAGCTGACGGCCTGTTTGAAGATTCTGGTGGCCAGTGCCAAAGTTCAGAAATTGGAAGCCAGGGAGCAGTTAGCTTTAATTATGATTGCAACGTACCTTCGCTCTGTGCAATTTGGTGAGTTCTAGGTGGATGAGTTGTCGGCTCGTCGGCCCTTGGCTTTGCTTCCGCTCGTTCAAAAGTTCTTCGAAGTCACCCATGGGCTTGCCCAGCGAAAAGCTTTCCTGCCGTCCCGAGTTATTTCCAAAAGGGGGCAGAAGGTCCGGCCGAACCGTGCCCTGGCGAAGCTTCGGATGGCTGATGTTCTGGCCATGGCTGGCCAATTTTTGGATGGCAGCCTCGACATTATGTTCGTGTGCCAGGGCAAAGCTGATTGGATTGTCGACGTGGATATGTGCCTTGTCGCAACCTGAATGGAATTTCAACAACATCATTTTCAAGACAGGGAAGCAATAGCCAAGTAATTGACCACCGAGGCTCTATCTCGTGAAGTGCAACTCCAGCAGGCTGATGGCTCCCCACTTTCGGCAGACACTTGCGGCCATTGATCGTTTGGCCAACCCTTGCTACGAGTGCAGCCCGCATTGGATTCGCAGATGCAGTTTATAGTACAGTATAGGTTCGTGTCCTGGGGTTTGTGAGTGGCCCGTGCACTATAATAGACTTCACTGACTAAAACTTTTGCGGCTTCAATGGCGCACTCGGGTTTTATGTCAGGAATGGAACATACAGCAAGGTCTTTGGGCGATGGTGCGGTCAAAGCCCTGCAGACACTCTGGAAGCCGTCCAGGAGCAGTTGAAAGGTTTGCCAAATCCCAAGTGCGTGAAGATGCAAATTCTCCAGGCTGAGGTCACATCTGACGTTTGCGTCGTGAATGCGTGCAAGTGCATCCACGTCTTGAAGACTCCCGGTTTGCGCTTATCGTTGAGATTCAGCAAATGGCTTCCTGTCAGTCATGGGTTTCCCTAGCCACGACTTGCGCTCAGGAACTTTTGCTTTCTCAAAAGGAGTTGCTAGGCTATTTTGGGATGCCAGTGTGAGTTTGTTTCCGCCCCTTGGCTTTGCAGCCACAATGGGGGCAGCCATTCTCAGGCAATTGGATGGGCGAGGAAGACCCGTCTCCTCTCCCCAAAGTTGGCCGTGCCCTCGGCGGCAAATGAAGAGGCTTCCTGGCTCATCGGCTCCCGTTTCAGGCACCATTGCCGCTTTCGTTCCTTTAGGAGGAGATTTAGATGTCAGCTGCAAGGCCTTAACGCACCGCTTCATGTAGACCCTTAAAGTCAAGCACTTTGCCCTTCACTGCTGGACTATTCAGATTTTAGCAACTGAAGGGTTATGGCCCGGACCCTTCCAAGCATGTGGTGGCTGGTTTTTGGCCACTGGGCTTTGGGTCGGATAACTAAAATTAGCCGTTAGTGTTTTGTGAGCATCCTGTTCAGGCCGAGATTGGCTGGGCTCATAGATCCTCACCATCAAGGCACCTTTTGACCTTGCAGAAGGTTTCTCAAAGGGTACAGTGTCGTCACCTTTCCTTGCGCAAGGAATAACTGTTGATGCAGTAAAAGGTGGTGGGCATGTGTTCAAGGGTTGGCCAGGCAGTGCAAAGCACATGCTTGAGCTTGGAGGCCACTGGTTATTATGTACCTTTGAAATCACCAAGCCTACCCTTCCCAGCGGAATAGCTTCAACCTATCAAATGAAAGGTAGTAGGTGGGGTCGGAAAGGTTTGCCTTGTGTGTCTTGTTTGAGGACCTTGTGTTGTTTCTTACAGCTTCCTGGCCGGTACTGGCCAATTTTGCGACTTCGCTCACTATCCTTGGCAGGGTGAGGTTGGAAGTGCGGCCCACAGATCCTCTCCATGGAGGTGCCTCATTGTTCCTTCCTCGGGCTTCTTCAGGGCACCCAGCCGTGACCTTTCCTTGCTCCAACCTCTTTGGTTTTTGCAGTCAAGGATGGCAGACATGTACCCAAGGGTTAGCCTGGTACTGTACGATCAATTCCTGTTCTCTTCGTCGCTTGCAACCCACTGTTTTGGCTAGTGGCTGTGGTCCTTTGAAATCACAAAGTTACCTTTCCCAGCGGAATTGCTTCCTGCAGGCAATTGAAGGGTAGTGCGTGGGCTCTGAAAGGTAGACTCAAGATTGAGCTTGTCGTTTGTGTGGCCTCTGGCTAACTGGTTGAGATTTTGGATTTGTCCATTGTTCCTGTGGGAGGCCTTGCCTCAGACCAAGCAGCAGCTGGTTGTGACCCAACACATGAAAAGACTGGGGTTGGTGGGCTGGCCGCTTGCTGTCTGATTGAGTTAAAGTGCTCACTTGAATCTTCGAAGCCTCACTGAACAGTACCCTGGGCATCAGATATTGATCCTAATCAATATTCTTGAAAAAAATCAAATTTCTATTGATTTGGGCGCGTGCTTTTTCAATAGAAATTCTTCCT